CTTGGTCTTGGAAATTTGACTCGTGTTGTAAATAACAACAAAAAGGCAAGGGTTCGTTCTGTAAAATTCCCCAATAATTAGCAAAAAAATGCATAGGGTATTTTTTTATAAGCCCTATGTATGAAAAAAAAAAAAAACACCAAAATATACACATTAAATTTAAAATCTTCTAAATCATCATGCGAAATCACTGTAACGACAGTTTGGATATTCGCAATCACTCCAACATTTTTATCCTTGTAAATTTCTTTACTATGTCCTAACTGTATAAATAGACTTTGGGGAATTGCTGGTATTGTGCAGTAAACATGAATAAGCAATAGGTTTAGGACATCGATATCAACATATTTTACCAGAATTGTGTTAACTGATTTTAGTTCTATTAGCACATAAGGTAATAATCTGGTATTAGCTTCTTCTTGAGTACTATCTAATTTTTCCAGATTAAACAAAGTTCAGAATCCTGGAATCGCGGCGCCGACTTTTGAAAATCCTCATGGGTGCAGCATAATAATAAATGACTTTAGAAATTTGTTTATAGGGGGAAGGGGTGGGCGAAATTTTTTTTCCGGATGCCACGCCCAAAAACGTTTATTTTATAGTGTTTCCGATTGCTAAATTCAGGCAGCACTAGAGCAACCCTCGTTCAATTTTTGTATTCGATTTTATCCCCCCAGTATACCTGGAGATGTAGTATAAATTTAAAATAAACATTTAATAATGTATTTATTTTCATTTATGTAAACACAGTATCCCATTTTGGTTGTACAGACATAAGGGATATCTCAGTTGCTATTGGAGTTAGAAGGATACGGTTTTTCCGCGAACGTTGGCTACTTTTATGTAGATGCCGTCAACAAAATTGTCATCGCCCTTAAGGAAAACCACCTATCTAAAATATCATTTCTTCAAATCTTAACTTAAAAAAAAAAGTTTACTGAATAAAAATAAATGTTGCAATCATGTAATACGCCGTCAAGTAGGGACGAACCTAGAGGCACCACAGAAAAAGCGGGAGGTAGAAGGGAATACGCAACTAGACTACAGAAGAAACTGGGCTGGTTCTTTTTAGACGCGTGTCTGTAATTATTCATTATTCAATTTTCATTTTTATTTTGCATTAAAATTGATTGTTCAATTCAATTTGTTAGTGTGTGTGTAAGGAGCGTTCACAGGTTAGTGGATTAAATGTTATTTTGTTTTTGAGAGTTCAATTTATGCAAGTTCCTATTATTTTGTTCATTTTTATGTATTTTTTGTTTGTTTATAACATTTTTTATAACATGTGCATTTTTTATGTATTTAATAAAAATCGTTTCATACTGTAAACAGCACAGATAAAGAAGTAAATTAAAACCTAAGAAATTATGTGCTGTCTTTTTGTACTGGGATTTTGATTTTGTGGATTTAGAGCGTGTATTAGGGCCTTGTTGAATTTACTAACATTTTCCTACCCTGACGAGAGAATAACCTAACAAATTGAAATAATCAATCTAGAGATATTGGCTCAAAAACAACTATAGCCTAGTAGCTTCCCGTATGGGACCTCAGTATCCGCTGGGAAACTGGCTAACTAACAAAAAAACTCTTCAGTATTGAATATAGGTAGTGTTGATTGAATGTTGAGTGTGTAATTAAAATTTCAGCACAAAGACCAAAGACGGTACCTAATTTAAACTTTTATTGACTTAAATTATTGAATTATTGACTTAAAATTATTATTAAAATGACACAGTATGTTTCGATTTTTTGAGGAATGTTAGATCGAGGGTTTCTCTGCCGTTCTCTTTCCCCTCGAGAATTCTAGGTCGAGAACGGTACGATTCATTTTAATAATAAAGTAGACGTTTCACAAATTTTTCGTTTCTTTTACATATCACAACTTTCCTTAAATTTCCCAAATATTTGCTATGTCGGGCGCATGTCCAGTAAGTAAAATTGGGTAAGTTTCCATAACGTAGGTCCTTTTTTTTCTTCATTTCGTTTTTCAGAAGATTTGTTGTTTGAAGATAATAAAAATTCTCATCGTTCAATCTTACGGAACGAACCCGGGGTATGTTATACTACACCCTTTTCGTTTTTCAGATACAAGGTGTTTTTGAAAAAGTTGCATTTTGGGATACCTCTTGTCTCTCGGTTCTCTTATAAAGTGATCGAAAATGGACAACGGCTTCTCATAGAGCCACCGTGTATTAATAGCTCATTGGATAGCTCTGCTTCTGCTGACTTCAATGAAAACTGTCAGAGATAAACCCATCGAATTTTATATCATTGAAATCAGCAAAAGCAAAGCTATTCAGTGAGTTTATAATATGTAGGGTGTCTCATTTGAAATAACGGCTGTTTGGTTCATAATTTGAAAACTATTACTTCTAAAGAAAAATTGACAACGCTTCTGGAATCTACGGAAAAATATCTATAGGAAACCGTTGTCACGTTTTCGATCACTTATGAGAAAGCCGAGATCCAAAAGCACCTTGTATCTGAAGACCGAAAAGGGCGAGGACAATGTTGTTGACGGCATCTTTCCTTTGACAGAAAAGTAGCTAACGTTCCCGAAAACCCGAGCGAAAACCGCATCCTTCTAACTCCAATAGCAACTGAGATATCCCTTATGTACAACCAAAATAGGACACACTGAATCTACAGTCAAAGAAATAGGTGCAAGTAGAAGAAAACAAAATAAAAAAGTAAGTAAAAAGTTAGCCAAATACCAAGTATTTATAGCTGAACCACCGTTGGAATGACCATTAAACACGCATGTATACTTCCGCATTTCCCACGAGAGCTCTCATGGGTGCGGAGCACCCATGAGAGGTTGCTCATGGGTGCACCTGCCCCGATGCCCCCATCTAGTCGGCGCCAGTGCCTGTTATTATGACTGTTGATTCATTTATTAAGGCTTTTTTTTTCATGGTCGGCAGACGGCACACACACAAAAGGAAAGTCCTATATCAACGAGTGGAGTGTGTGTGGAGGTGTCGATGGACATTGGTCGCTATAGGTTCTAGTTTTCGGGGAAGATGCGACTTTGAAGTGCATTCGAGAGCGAGGCGACCCTCTAGAAAAATGAGTCTCGAAACAGCGATGTTCTAGGTATTTATGACTGAACTGTATGTTGATGAGCTGCTTGTGCCTGACTAGTGTTTCTGTTTGATGCAACTTTGGGCGAAATCAGAAGTGCTAGCTCGTTCGAACACCTTCCGTAGAAGTATCGATAGTAAGTGATAGGTCCGCCACTTTTCACCGATGTTCAAGGCTTTGGAGGTTTTGGTCAACTCCGGGTCATCGATAAGACGGACTGTCTCTCTTTTGTATCGAGTCAACATCTTGAGCAAGCGTTTGGATACCGATTTCCATATATATTTGCAGTATTCCAAGGATGCTCTTATCTGGGCCTTATAAGAGTAGCAAAAGCTGAAATGGGATATACAACTTCCTTATTTCCTGAGGGAAATTTTTAAAAATTTCGTCTTTAGCCAATTTTTTTAAACAAAACCATTCGTGCATAGCGCCAAAGAAAAAAATTTTTGAGGCGCTATGCACTCATGATTTTGTTAAAAAATTGGCTTCAGACAAAATTTTCAAAAATTTCCGGAAATATTTCATGCACTATACCTTTTCAACTTCAAATTGGGATCAATCAATTTCAATTTGGAACGTAGCAATCTCAAATTGGGATCAATCAACTTTTAATTGGTAACTAACACGTTCAAAATGGGAATAAACAAAGTCAAATTGGAAATAAACAATTTTCATTTGGTACTAATCAACTTCAAATTGGAATTCTTGAATAAATTCCAAAGTTTTGCAAGTCAAATGGCAGTTACTTTTAAACCGTATTTTAAATTAACAAAATGCCTTACATTGAAGTACCTGATGCAGAAACTGCACAAAAGCAAAAAGCTGTTTTTAATAACAAAGGCGACTGAAGAGGATTGGCTAACACTCTGGGTATAAAAAAATCTTCAGCTTATCGATGGGAAGGTACCCAAGAAGTTGTTAGAAGCAAGCGTGGGGGACAAAGAAAAGCAAACATAAGGTATAAATAACTGGATTCATAAAGAAAAATGCTGCTATTACGCTGAAATAAAAGAAATTTTTGAACAAAATTTCATTTTGATGAAATGTTTTCATTCGGGTTCAATGGCTGTCGTAAGTTGGAATTTCTTTCTGACGTCTGGTAGCAGACTGCTACCAGAATCGGACATGGAAGCACCTCTGAAGATGCTAGCCACGCGTGCTAGCGAAACGTCATAATTCTTTTAGAAATTCCAAGTTAGGACGGCCATTAAGCCCGAATGAAAACATTTCATTGATAAACCCCGACCGCGAAAGCCTCACAAACTTTATCAAAATCTCATTTCATTACTGTTCAAAGTCCCTTTTTCATTAATGTATATTGATTTTCTTCACTAGCAATCTTTCATTTACATTAATACCTAAATCGAATAGGTCTATTCCCAATTTGAATTTGTTTCTTCCCAAATCAAAATTGATTAGTCGCAATTTGAAGTTGATTAGTACCAAATTAAAAATGATTAGTTCCAATTTGATTTTGTTAATTCCCATTTTGATATTGTTAGTTCCCAATTTAAAGTTGCTTAGTCCCAATTTGAAGTTGAAAAGGTATAGTTATATTACTACTGGAAATTTCAAAAATTTCAATGTTTCCATGAAAATTTCAGAGTGAAATTTCCAGATGAAGTGAAAAGTGAAATTTACCCAACCCTATGCGCAGTGGTAACCTTACCGAAATTCATAATTTTTTAGCCTCCTCACTGGAAATAGCCACGAGACGCCACGGAAAATTAATAGAATATAAATGGGATCCATGCATTCAATTATTGATTTTTCAAAAACATTCTTTCAGTCACGCAAGTATTGGAATGGTTGCATATAAACTTTTTCGAGCCTGCCATAAAGGCAATCAATCTCCATAGCAACCCAGTGAATCAAAACGTTATATAGAATAAACAACTTCGCAAAGTAAGACGAGAAAAGTACAATGTCGGATCACAGTTCATCTGTTTACAATAATACTTGTTTGAAAGTGCCAAAAAAATCGAATACAGAGCGCTTCAATCAAAAGTTTCTGAGTGAGTTGCATAATGAAGTGACGAAAAACTTTAATGATAGAATGAAAGCCGACCTGATGAAATCGCCGCGCGGCGACGTTAGGATGTTTATCGATTTTTTCGATAGTATTCCGGAATACGATGATGTAAATCATTTGTCCAATAAAGACTTCTATAGGAAATTGGAGAATTTGAAAGAAAAACAGCGTGTATTTTGCCAACGCATGAATAATGAATTAAAATTTGCAACCAAAGTAAGTAAATACCTATTTGGGGAAAATGATTTAGCCGATACTTGATAGAAATCCATTACAAACTTTGAAACGAAACAAAAAAGTTTCTGAATCTCCACAATTTTATTTATATGATGCCATGGCATATGTTTCAGCACACGGTGCCCTCTTCAGACGGAATACCTAAATAATATGCTAAGCTAGAATATAATATGCATACAGAGACGCCGACGAAAGTTCTCATGGGTGGCAGGGTGCAGGATAATAACTTCATAAATTTGTTTATAGGGGGACGGGGAAGGTTGCTGCAGGCGCAAGCTGTATGAATTAAAATTACATGATATTACTTGCAAACTCCTGGTCCATCAAAAATTCACCCCCAGATCGACCCAGGACAACCCACCCTCGTTCCTTGACGATTCAGTCTTCTGGACCCCATCGAACTCCATCTTGGGAGACGATAGCGCATCAGTCACCAGCGCAACCACCCCTGAACGCCTGAACCTAGCACGCCTGTAGCTAAGGATAAGGGCCCAGGCAGGACAAGGAACAGAGTTGTGCGTCCCGAACCCCCCACCAACTCCAACCAGAAGAGACCGAGACCAAAGTCTCCCGGGGATGACTCTAATAGTCCACTCTATCAGGCACCTAAACATCGAGTGACATTCATAAATGACCACCCAGCACCCCGCACCACCTAACAACTCCCCCACCTGCTTCACTAATGCCACCTCCTCTTCCGGTTATTGACCTCACCGAAAAACCGAACTTCGGTCAGGGGGGCGATTCTCGGGCCAGGGAGTAGAGCTCCACGAGAGAACAAATTTTTCGTCTTTATCATTCTCATTTACTTTTTGATTACGTCGACAAGGACAAAAAAAACGTTCTATCGGGGAGCTCTACTCCCTTCCCGAGAATCGGGCTCCAGGAGGAAGTGGCAACTCCGAACCGAGAACCGGGAGGCATGTCCAGCATTTTCAATCACCTTCTGGTGCAGCTGGTCACTCTCCGCGGCCACCTCAACTCCAATGCCAACAACAACGGCGAAGGTCATTCGGCAACTCTTCTTCAAATGAACCTGACCGGAAGTGACCAGCAGTTCGATTCCGCCTTGGAAAGCTGGACTTCCGAGCGATTCTGAATCAAATCTCGGAAAAGGGGTGAAGAAATCACCCTTTCGGCGCGGGCCCTCCAGGCGCCGCGGCTGGTAAAAAGCACTCAAACTACGGCCAAACTTTCACTGGTCGGGGTCCTGGCCAATCCCTCTACAAAAAGGCGCAGGACCTCTACACCAAGAGCCGATCCGCTCTGGCCGAAGTCATCTTCAGTGTTACCAGATGAAATAAAAAAAATTCGTGAGAATCGATAAAGAAAAATCGTGAGACCTAAAATTGCATGTAAGAAAATAATGCAGAATGTTTTTCTATAGATTTTTGATAGAGTAGACATGATTTTACATCCATAAGAAATTGAAATTTTATTATTAAATCTTGTATTCTTGTTTTTTCCGTTTTTTAGCAGGTGTTTCTGACAGCTGAACCGCGTTTTCATTATCCGCAGGATTGCTTATCCTAAAAAGACGTACGTTCGCCAATTCTCGAGTCGGCAGCTATTCTGCGAGTGACGTCACTACTATCAGCAACTGATAGTAGTAACGTCACCCGCAGACCTCGATGAATTGCTCGCGATTCAGGCTGTGCTTGTGAGTTGATTTTTTTGGGAATTTTAAATTAAGATTCAATGTTTATTAATTCGTTTTTTTTGGACTCGGGTAATGCATTTTCTGCCAAGAGTTGAGGTCTGCAGCTGAAGTCGCAAATAAATAAATAAATAAATAAATAGTGGGGTCTCGTGGACTTCGCAGACACTTTCAGCTCAATAAGCAGTCCCATTAGCTCAGGATATACAAAAACAAACAGCAGGTTAATTCTCACGCGCATCTCTTCTGCGCACGCCGCCATTCGAGGATACAGCCTATCTTTAAATGGCAAAACAATGAGATTTATTGCCCATCTCATCTGCGCACGCCGCCATTTTGGCATACAAAGCTCGAGTTAGCCTGCTGATTGTTTTTGTATATGCCGTGCTATTAGCTTAAGTGGAGCGGCGTAACATAACTAAATATTGTATAGTAGATTTTTATTTCGATTATTCTCGATTACATTATATTTGATTACTGATTTGTATTACTATAGAGAGAATTCGTGAGATTTGCTACCTCATTCGTGAGATCGTGAAATTCTGACCAAAATCGTGTAATCTTAAAAATAATCGTGAGATCTGGCAACACTGGTCATCTTAAGCGGCCACTCACTCGACGTTCCTGCCATCACCCCAAATATCCAAGAGGTCCAAAATCTCTACAGAACATCCTGGGTAGCTTTAAATTTAAATTACATGATACTGATATAACCCCACGGAACGGAATGACCATCAAACACGTTTGTACTTCCTCATTCCCCACAAAAGGTCCCATGGGTGCTTCGCACCCATGAGAGGTTGCTCATGGGTGCATCTGCCCCGATGCCCCCATGTAGTCGGCGCCAGTGTATGCATATTGTAGCAATATTGTAAATTCTGCAATTTTATTGAACGGCTAGCCATTTTATAAACGCGGCCACATTATAAAATAGTCAATTTTCTGGAACATTTACAATTACCTTTCCAGTATTTTAAAAAAATTTATAACTACATGAATTACTTCTTCAGGATACAACGTGTATAGATGACTTCAAAAACCGGCATACTGACTACAAAAACTCTTCAGCCGTTGATAATGAAAACCCCAGAGTATTCTGTGGCACTCCCACACCGAAGAAATCATCACAAGAAAGATACCTTCCTGATGAAAACTTGTCTTTATCTGACATGATGTTATCCAAACCACCGTCTCGAAGGTATAGTTGAGTATTCCTAACCTACTCAGTATGTATATTGATTAGCTGGTCGCATTTTCATTATGAACAAAAACAACTTATATCTGAAAAGAGTTTTAACGCACTTGTTATATAATAAGTTATTTCAGATCTGTACGCATCGAAACTCCCAGTATGAATTCTTCTCCTGAACTCACATCAAAACATCATCATCCTCCTCACAAGTGGCAGAACATGCTGCTTGAAAACCGAAAGCATCTTAATCATGATTGGGATGAGTTGGTCAATGATGATTTGAATTCTGTTGAAAAAACACCTCTACCACTGGAAACCAGAAGCGCTCCAAATAGTCCCACACGCACAAGAAAATGCAGTTTAGAAGAATACGACGGTATCACCGTACCGAGGCCTTTCAAAATGACAGTTAGGTATGTATACCTATTCTACATAAAAAGATCCTTTAGTATAGAATACAGGGTAATTCATGTAGCCCGTTCAATAGTTTGCAAACGGATTAGATGCTATTTCTTCTAATTCGCGAACTGGAAAACTTCTAATGCACGGGCGACATAAATCAGGGTGTAGATTCTTGAGGTTTATAGGATAACAAAGTTTTTATAGAACGTGATTCTAGAGGGTTCCGTATAGAAAGAGTACCTCTTAAATCGTTTTCAGAGATGAAGAGAATAAGATCGTTGACGAGTTGCTTCTAAAAATTAAAGGCAAGGAGGAAAAGCCGCATTTATTTAAAGCTCACGATGTACCCATTGAATCACAAATTCCTTTGTTCGACAAAATTATGGAAGATCAACACAAAAGGTTAGTAATTTGTAAGCGTGGAACGAAATATGCTCCAAATAATATTAATTTATATCAATTCACATATTTTAATGAAGGAGCCAAAAAGTGAAACAAAAAAGAAAAGCGGATTTACAAGCTCAGATGAGGCCATTTTCATTTACCCGGCGAGATGAAGAGATTCAAGAATTGACAAAAACGTTTTCAAAATCCTTACCGTGTGTTTATTATGACGACATTCCGGTGAAAGTCAAAAAGTTTAGAGCCAAACCTATACCCAGGAATCTATTTAGCAATTACATTTACAAAAAAATGCACGAGGATGAATTTTATAGGTAAGAAATCCTAGATTATTTTCGCAGTCCTATCTATATTTTTTTCCTAATTACCTACCAGGGCTCTCCAGAAAAAAGTGAGGGCGGAAGAAATGCTCAAGCAAGCATCTTTACCACCCTCCATGGCCAAAAGAGAACACTCAAGATCAAAAATAGATGTATGTCCAAGATCATACCGTGAATTATATAGTAGTGAGGAAAGGGATACTCCAATTAAAAAGCACAGACATAATTACAAGGTATAGTATTGTATTTAAATAAAAATATACCGTCCTAAAATGTAGGTAAATATTTCTTATCAATATACTTTCTTGGTATAGAAACAGAAAAGAAGAGTCCCATCGGCAGTTAGTAGAAATAGTACAGAATCAAGAACTCCCTCTTCATTGGACATGTCATCGATTAACAGATCTAATTTGGCAGCAGTTTTAAGAATACAGTCCGCTAAGTGAATAAAAGAAAAATTGTTGTTGTTTGATTTAATAAAACTAAGCATTTTAGAAAACGAATTGAAATGGACATAACTAGAAAACTGGAAGAAGCCAAGCTAAAAGAAGAAGCAATATGGCGTGAAAAGTTAATGAGAAAAAAATCCGTTTGGCAAGCCTTAGCGTATAGTCATGAAGAAGATTTGGCAATGAGGTTTGTTTATATGCCTACCTATGTGTAGGCATTATTTTCTCACTTTTGCGTGAAACGTAAATTCTTCATCCATATGATTTATTTAAAAAAAAAATGCTAGTGTGATAACTCTGAATCAGGAATCTGTATATACAATTTCTTATGTTTTTGTACCTATTAGTTTTGAAGTTTGTAATTCCTAGTCTCATTGTTGTCTCGTTGGGAATACTAAAAGCACTATTTATTTCCATTCTGGTATTTCTGGTATTATACGTATAATCCAAAACTATAATAACACCTCTGATTTTAGGCTGCAACAGAGACGAGACGAAGAGAAACTTCGTAATGAGGAACACAGACTAAGAATGGAACTAATGCTTGGCAGGGTAAATCAACAACCAACATTATTTGAGAGGCAATCTCAAGTAGGTAACTATGATACGAATGGACACTTTTATATTTCATTTGATACCTATTCTCTTTTTTTTTTCTAGATTAAATTTTCAAAACCATTGGAACGTAATGACTGTAATGAGGAATATAAATCTCTAAAAAAAAATAATAGAAAACCCCGTTCAAAAAGCATGTCAAGCGGTTTTTCGGATGCAAAGTCGGTAACCAATAAAACAATGATCGAAAAAAACAGCTTACAAAGTGCGAAACATAGTATTAAAGAATCTACTTAAGCATATATATATTTATAAATTTAATAATAATGAAGTCAAATTATCGTTATAACTTAAAATGCGTTCAATTTAAGTGGTTTGTAAAAATGTTTGGAATCTCAAATTAATATAAACATATTATATTATGTGTAATTGACTTTAAGAACTTAGTAACCTTTATGATTTTTTAGTGTTTTATAATATTTTCAAGTATGTGCCTATTATGTATATTGTATGATAATACGTCTACTGTTAAATAATAAAAAAAAACACTTAGTTACAATTTACTTTTCAAGTGTTCAAAGCTAATTTATTATTGTGCCTCGGAAAAAAGACTTACATAAACCAACTACCAGTGTTGCCAGGTCATATTTCGTTTTTTCAGTAGACTACCAGTCTAAATATCAGTAGAAATCAGTAGACAGATAAGTTGCCTACTTAAAGGGGAAAACCATTAGGGTATACTAAATTAATTGTTTCAGTAATATTTTTTCAAATCATTAAATCTTTAGACTTTGCATTAGACTATGAAAACTTGCATTGGAAAATCAAACACCAATACTACTTATGGGAAATATTTTATCAAGAGGCGTGGAATATTCCTATTTAACATGCACTACCAAAGAATGCACTACCTATGTAGTATGTAGTTAGTAGTCTAGTCTCTGATAAAAACAGGTGAAATAAGCTGCAGTTAGTTGTACCATTGCCACCAAAAGTGTCTGGGACAAAAATAATGCATAATAATCTCCTGGACTAATTCTACTGTCATTCATTTCAATGTATTTAATTCATAGTTTAAAAAAAAAATTGACAATAAAATTCATATAATAGTACAAGAGCTAAGATGATGCTGTCCCAGTTACTTTTGATGACGATGGTACAGCATAACGCTATGTGACCAATTGACTAACCAACAACAACGCATGCCTTTAGGCAACTGGCAAGACAAAAGGCAAGTAAAACAAGACACAACAGAAGCACGCAAGAACCTCGAGGATTACCCATTTCCCAGTAAGCTGAGTGCTGCGCCTGCACTGCGAGCGTTAGAATGTTCCAATACATACCACACCGGCCTCATCGGAGTAATCGGGCGTCATTTAGAGTACCTACACTCCTAAGAGTTTTAGCCCACAGGTCAAGCATGACATTATTGCTGTGACATTCTCATACATGATTATAATTTAAAAAATAATATAAAAAGCGGTTAAATAATGACAGCTGCATTTATCAGTAGAATTCACATTGATATCAGTATATCAGTAGACCAATGGCCAAATCAGTAGATCTACTGATAAATCAGTAGACCTGTCAACACTGCCAACTACCTGCAGTGACGTTTTAACCTTTCTCTGGCCCGTAGGTCAATTATCTGGTGATTGTTCTTTTTTATGGGGTTAAATAAAATCATTCAGACGATTTCAAACTACTAAAAAACCACTAAAAAATATTTAATAACACTATATTTCAGGAACAAACGAAAGGAATCGTATGCGATTCTCAAAGATTTTAGTTAACACGTAGAAATTCGTGAAGTTGAAAATCACACGATCAGACATGACACCATAAATATTATGGCGTTTCCGATTGGTAGATTCAGTGCGTACTGAGTGTATTTGCATCCTTTTAATCGAACTGTAGAAGAAAAAGACAGAAATCAAAGTTAAACGTTAAAGGTCACATACTCATCCTTGTAACCATAGGATTCACACGTTCGGACCTATTTTGGTTTGATAAACACAGTGCGCGTGAGTTATGTCACCAACCAAGACGATATAACGCTGACATAGCATCTCTAATTTCTTTATATAAATTGCTTCCATCGAACTTTAGTTCACTTTTTACTTAGCTATATGATTGTCAATTAGTTTTAATTTTTAGAATAAAGTTTTTAAAAACGGTGTCGGTCGTCTCGATAAGTTAACTGGCGCAGTCGGAATAGGATTTTCCAGGAATCGATAGTGCATCGCGTCGTATCGATTTGTTCAGATCCGTGATTAACTGGAAATCGAACTTTGGTGATTTGTGTTTGGCAGAGCGGATTTCTAAAAATCGAACACCCCAGTCTATCGAAGACCTGCAGAAGAACACGATCATCGGAAACTAGAACCAAATCGTCTAGTTTCGCAAGAACAAGGAATTTTGGGAGGACCAAATCGCTGATCGAAAACCTTGTTCTCATAGAAGAGATGACCGTAATCTCCGCTTACCTAGTACTGTAAGTTGCAATTATAATAATTTATGTCCGATTTAGATCAAATTATTAATTCATTAGAAAATTTAGTCATAAATACACCTTCAGCCAACTCAGCTCAAATTTCTAATCAAAATTCATTCAATTCTCCTTTGGAAACTATTTCTGAAGAACAAAATTTACGTTTAGACAATCTATTTAACGAAAATACTGATTCTTCCAATATGAGCTTCAAAGCTGAATATTTGAACTGTGTACCTGATTTTGATGGTAATCCGAATGATTTATCGAGATACCTAAATATTTGTCAAACCCTTATAGATAAATTTTATAATACAACTAACATCGATTGTTTTGAAAATATTTATCTACTTAACTCATTGATTAGTAAACTGAAAGGAAATGCAAAACTCGTTATTAACATTAATTCCTCTACTACGTGGGAGGATATCAAAACCACGCTTTGCCGTCACTTTGCGGACCAAAGAGACGAATCGTGTCTGAATAGAGACCTGGTTATGCTTCGCCAACAACCAAACGAAAAAGCAACACAATTTTACGACCGAGTCTTGCACATCCTTAATTTACTATGCTCTTATGTAGACAATCACGAGACTACCATTCAAGCGAAAAATTTGAAAAGAGACTTGTACAATGATCTTGCTCTAACAACGTTTTTATCTGGTTTGAAAGAACCACTAGGTACCACAATTAGGTGTATGAAACCAGAAAACCTATCGAAAGCATTGCAATTTGTGACACAGGAAAGTAACACACATTATTTCCAAAATTCTACTAAAGTTACTCAAAATCAACCAGTGCAGATTCTAAGACCCTTCCAAAACAGACCAAATTTTCAACCTTCAAAAATTTTCGCTCCCAACCAATCATTCAGACCAATGATGCAGCAATTTCCTTCTCAACCGATAAACATTAGGCCAGTTTATAGGACCCCTCAAAAATTCTTCACCAACTCGCAAGTATTTGGAAGACCCCAGAATGTTTTTAGACCAAATCAATCACGTTATACTACTCCTGGCACTCCTATGTCGGTATCGACTAGAAACACAGGAAGACCAAACTTCAACAACAATTCTAATAATGCTTCTCAAAGTTTTAACCAACAACAACCGCAAAAAATGGATGTTGAAGAGTTATTCAATACTGAGACCGATCAATCAAGTAACGATGATCAATACTGTTTTGACCAGTATAGGCAGTATGACCAAAACCAATACTACAATCAATATTATTATACATACGACCAACAATACCCAATCTTTTATGAACAAGCTTATTACCAAATCAATGATCCCCAAAATGAACTCCTGAATAATGAACAAACCGCAGATTCAACCTCTATATCTGAAGAAACAAACGAGGCCGTAAATTTTACCGAAACACCTCAAATAGAGGACAATAGATAAATCCAACAGCCATATCATTCAATATGGCTTGTTCAAGTGAATTGCCCTATGTTATTTTTCCTGAACATAATATAAAAATATTGATTGATTCTGGATCAACTAAATCGTTCTTAGATCCAAACTTCGTAAATAAATTTTACCCAAATTTTATCTCTATTGACCCATTTATTGTTTCAACCGTCTACCAAAAATCGGCCCACCAATTCAGTGCATGTATTCCCTCGTCAAAATTATTTAATCTGCCATATCAGCAAAATTTAAAATTCTACTTATTTAAATTCCACGACTATTTCGACGGCCTTCTAGGAATCGACAACCTCAAACTATTACAAGCGAATCTTGACTTTGGAACCGGATTTCTTGTAACACCTCATGTCAGCATTAAATTACGATTCCACAAAACCCAGCCGCAAATAAACTGTATCACAATACCCCCTCGAGTTCAACAAGTTATAAAAATACCAACGAATATAAAACATGGCGAGATAATAATCTCTCATCAGAAAATACAGAATTGTGAAATACCAGAATGCCTTACTACAGCAAAAAACGGTTTCGCATTAACCACTATTCTCAATAATACGACTCAACCAGTAACATTAGACTTCTCGATCCCATTTACCGTGGAAAAATTCCAGCGAAATGAAATCAGAGAAATAAATTTAAATAATTTCAACGACTCCCCAGATACAGGAATAGATCTTTCAAAATTCCGTACTGATCACCTGAACCCTGAAGAAGAAAACGGACTTTTACAATTAATCACCGAATTCTCAGATATATTTTATCACGAGAACTCCCCATTAACATTTACTAATAAAATAAAACATCAAATTAAAACCAGCGATGAAATTCCCATATACACTAAATCATACCGATATCCTTTCATACATAAGAAAGAAGTAGAAACGCAAATCCAAAAAATGCTTGACCAAAACATAATTCGACCTAGTAGCTCTCCTTGGAGTTCACCAATTTGGGTGGTCCCCAAAAAATTGGACGCATCTGGGAAACAAAAATGGAGAGTCGTAGTCGACTACAGGTCATTAAACGCTAAGACGATTGACGATCGCTATCCTCTCCCCAACATTACAGACCTTTTAGACAAACTCGGTAAATGTCAATATTTTTCAACTCTTGACCTAGCGAGCGGATTTCATCAAATTGAAATGGCTCAAAATGACGTAGAAAAGACAGCTTTCAGTACAGAAAATGGACACTTTGAATATCTGCGGATGCCATTTGGCTTAAAGAATGCTCCTGCGACTTTTCAGAGGGTCATGGACAACATTTTAAGAGGCATTCATAATGAGCATTGCCTAGTCTACCTAGACGATATTATCGTGTACTCTGTATCATTACAAGAACATCTTAAAAAACTCAGGTTGGTTTTTGAACGC